CAGTTTTAAACCGAATAGAATTTTATTCATATAATCAAAATAGAACAAAAAAAAGATAAATATATTTTACTTTGTATTTTGTTTAGTTTCTTTATCAAAATATAAGTTATCACTACAAGTTTTTGGCATTAGGATTTTATCTGTGAATAGCAAAAGCTTGTGTAGATTTTGATAACAAAATTCTGTGAAAAAAGTACAAGTACCTAGTATTAGGAATAATGATTGAAGCAATGACAACAATTTACTCATATTTTTTATTTTTTTTTTAGTTAATGACTAAACAAAAAGGAGATGAACTTGAATTTTTTCTTTTGCAACTTTTACAAGAAAATTTAATCGAATGCAATACAACGAGAACAAGTTATTTTGTTAATTCGACATTTACTCCTATTGGTGATGGCAGAATTGATTTATTTGGTAATTATGAATCGATGAACTACATCATGCAGATTAAAAACAAAGCGGAAAATATAAAATTAGACTAAAAGATATTTGAGAATTTTCTGAAGTATTAGCAAAACAAGCAGAAGATACTGTGGAATTTTTTGTTACAAATACTGAATATTCTCTGAATGCTCTTAATGAGGCAGGTAATTCAAAACAACAGATTATTCTTTGTTCTAAAATAATGTGATTGAAAAAATTAAAACAACAAAATTGAAATTAGAAAACAATGAGTTGCAAAAAAATTCATTTGAATTAAATGATTTGGTAATTGAAAATTTTAAAATTAATTCTAATAAATCTACTGTATATTTGTATGGTATAAAAATTAATAGAAAATGTAAAATTGGAGCTATAAGAATTAAACAAAATAATCATAAATATAAACCATATTAAATCTATTCAGTATAATTATCGAATAGAATTTTAATTCTGTGATTTTTTTTAAAAATAGATAAAAAAATAAAAAAACATATCATTGAACTTGAAATTTCATTAAAAAAATAATTAACAATTTTAATGATGATAAAGAATATGTTTTAAAACAAGAATATTTCTCAGAAAATATTCAGATTAAAATTAAAAGTAAATATAATAATAACTTAAAGATATAAAAAATCAATATGTAAACAAAATTGAACAAGAAACATTAAGACGATTAAAGAGAAAATATCCTAATGAAGTAGTTAGAAAAAAAAGAATTAAAAAAGAGCCAAAAAAAATTATATTAACAGGAGCTATTGGTGTAGGAAAATCAATATTTGGCAAAAAATTTAAGAAATATTTAGAAAAAAAAGGATATAAAGTTTATTGATCAGTTGAAACATCTTTACTTCTTGATAATAAATTAAAACTCTTTTGTAAAGATCCAAAAAATAATGCTTTATTTTTTCAATATGCGATTTTTAATTTTTACAAGAAGCAAGCTGCAGAAATTAATACAATTAATTCATACGATTTTGTAATACTTGATAAAACACATTGATACCGAAGTTTTTACATTAATGAATACTGAAAATAAAGAAGTTATCAATTTTTTAGAAAAAAAAAGAAAAGAAATTAAAATAGAAAATATCAACAAAGTGCTTTATTTAAAGTCTACAAATAAAAATATGATTAAAAGATAATGAAAAAAAGACCAAGAAGCAGAAACTTATACTGATGAATATTTAATTAAATTATTTGATTTTTACGAAAAATTAATTGATAAAATTTATCCATTTCATAATAAAATTAAAAATAATTGTGCTATTGAAGAATATGAGAAGAATTATTTTAATATTTATTCAATGATCTTACCAATTAATATTTTTTTATTTTTTTTTATTTTAT